AACAATTGATACAAAAATAATAAGATTTACAAATACAATAGCCAATTACTACTTTTCACTTTTCATCGAATTGAATTGAATTGGAATATTTGTAAACTGGGGACTTTCGACAGCTTTCTTCTTAGCAGTAATTCGGAGAACACCCTGATCGGACAACTGTGATTCCAAACTGTCTTGCAATACAGTCTCTGGAATAGTGTACTTCCGGATGAAGTGTCGTTCCACGGAACCATGCTGATCATTTCGCTCCTCGTGGTGCCCTTCAACAAACAGTCTCCCATCCTGCATCTTCACCGACAATTCTTCTGGTCGGAAATGGCTTACATCCAACCGGATACCGAAACTGTCCTTGTCATCAACAATCTGTAAGACATTCTTACAGTTAGATAACCACATTCATAAGAGGGAGAGGTTATTGTTATCAGTGAGTAAGATAAAAGCACAGAAAATAGGAAACATAAACGGAAATACTGAACGCTATGCTTACCTCGCCGAACGAATTTTTACTCGCAGTGGAACACTCCCAGAATGGTTGAAGCGAGTCCTCGAAATCCTCCAATAATCGGTTCATCAGTCCACCGACGGTACGTCGTCCCTCAATCGGAAAATTGTGCCATCTTGAAAGAGATGGAAAAGCCAATAGCGCCATTTACGTCGTCGTTAGAGCGTCAAAATGTTGAAATTGAGATCGTCAAAAACCATCGCCTTTATATACCGCAAATAAAGAATATTCCACATTGTTCCGGAATATTCCACATTGCTCCCGATGATTCCATAGTGTTCTCCAACATTCCCTTCCAGTCTTTACGTATTCTCTACATCAGACTTTCCATCTCTGGCCAGGGAGTGCAGAGACGCAGAACAACGAAGGCATTTCGTAAACAAAATGTTTACAGCACAGTAAATTTGCAGTAAATTTGCAAATTAACAAATTTTTCGAATGGTTTGTTGGAATACAATGAGAAAGAGAGAAAGAAAGACAAGAGTGAAATAGTGACAGTTGGATATTTGAAGCAAAGAATCGTCACAGAAAGAAATGGAAGCGGAAAAGTTGCATTTGAAATGGAAGATGAAGTTTTAATGAATCGTTCTGGTGATTTTGAAGTGTATGAAGAAGTGATTTTTAAATTGAAAAGATGAATGTGACAGTAATTCAAATGATAAAATTTGTTGCAAAGTATATTATAAACATTTTGTTTACGAAATGCCTTCGTTGTTCTGCGTCTCTGCACTCCCTGGCAAGAGATGGAAAGTCTGATGTAGAGAATACGTAAAGACTGGAAGGGAATGTTGGAGAACACTATGGAATCATCGGGAGCAATGTGGAATATTCCGGAACAATGTGGAATATTCTTTATTTGCGGTATATAAAGGCGATGGTTTTTGACGATCTCAATTTCAACATTTTGACGCTCTAACGACGACGTAAATGGCGCTATTGGCTTTTCCATCTCTTTCAAGATGGCACAATTTTCCGATTGAGGGACGACGTACCGTCGGTGGACTGATGAACCGATTATTGGAGGATTTCGAGGACTCGCTTCAACCATTCTGGGAGTGTTCCACTGCGAGTAAAAATTCGTTCGGCGAGGTAAGCATAGCGTTCAGTATTTCCGTTTATGTTTCCTATTTTCTGTGCTTTTATCTTACTCACTGATAACAATAACCTCTCCCTCTTATGAATGTGGTTATCTAACTGTAAGAATGTCTTACAGATTGTTGATGACAAGGACAGTTTCGGTATCCGGTTGGATGTAAGCCATTTCCGACCAGAAGAATTGTCGGTGAAGATGCAGGATGGGAGACTGTTTGTTGAAGGGCACCACGAGGAGCGAAATGATCAGCATGGTTCCGTGGAACGACACTTCATCCGGAAGTACACTATTCCAGAGACTGTATTGCAAGACAGTTTGGAATCACAGTTGTCCGATCAGGGTGTTCTCCGAATTACTGCTAAGAAGAAAGCTGTCGAAAGTCCCCAGTTTACAAATATTCCAATTCAATTCAATTCGATGAAAAGTGAAAAGTAGTAATTGGCTATTGTATTTGTAAATCTTATTATTTTTGTATCAATTGTTTGTGCAGTTTGATTGTTCAGATATAACAATGTGAACAGACATTTCATTTGGAGGATGTCATTTAATTTAAATTTTAATAAATTTCTATTTTTAATTGAAAAGTTTCATTCTACAAGTGGCGTGAATAGTCTTGTGAATAATTATGCCTATTCACTTGTCTTCTCACGTAACGGAACATTCTGTCTTCATGGTGGCAATCAATTTTAGTACTTGGAAAGAAACTGGAAAATATTTTCCACCGAAATTGGAGAAAGAAATTTAATATGATAATGATAAAAGAAAGAAAAAAAGAAATTAGTTACCACATGTTTTAGTTATTCTTAGCAATCCTCAACTGAGTACCTTTTTCTTGTTCTTTGTTGTCCGGAAGTCTTTTCCATACAGAGGGGCAGTGTAGCTGCTTATGCATACATAGGTTTGATAATTCATTCCATCAATTATATTTCTTTCAGCTGGCGTCACTTACTGAAAATGAAAGTCAATTCATTGAAGAGTTGCAGACAACGCGGTAAATTTAACCGGTTATGCGATTCCAGAAATGAAACTTCATACAATTTCATTAAATATTGTACTGGGAAGATTTGGATTTGCGAATTTGATGACATTTGAACTAAATGAATTGAGTCATCAGTCGCAATTAATATGCATGTGAAAGTGTAGTGAATAGGCTATCGTGAGTTCCATGTGCTGATTATGCCGAAATTGGAGGAAGAAATTTAAAATGATAATGATAAAAGAAAGGAAAAAAGAAATTAGACGCGTCGGAAAGTTTTGCGCGAAAAGAAAGTTATTGTGGCGGAAGTTTAGCAAAATGTTTTAAGAAACTTCCGCAAATAAATTTGTTTCTTTGTTATCTTTTTCAGCTGAATGATTGAAGAGATAGTTGAAGAATTCATCTATCTATCCATCCATCCATCCATTCATCTGATGATGAGCAATTGGTTATGCTTATGTGATGTATGCACTGAGTGCTAACTGAGGCAAATCACTCACCGATCATCGCATTCATTCGGAACAGCCGAAGTGTGGGATCGGTATTGTGGTGAAGGAGGAAGTCGAAATGGACTAAAATGCCATATGTTACTATTACCACAACGATCAGCTATACTCATTATCTCACCAATCGAATATCCTTTAAATTCAATACTTTTGGCCATGTTATCATTTTTTTTTGCTTTTGTTTGATTTGTTTTCTGGGAAATTTAAAATTGAACGTAAATTTGTCTTTTTGAGGAGAAAAATTGTTGTACTTAAAACAGTAAATAATCTCTGCAATTTCAATTAACTGACATTAATAGCATCTCTCTCTCTCTGTCGTCAGGTTTCTAAGCGGAGATTATTCATACCAATTGGTACCAACCGACCTGATATTACAAGGTAGTTGATATGATTTCTATCATTAACATTGTCCTGGATAATTTATGTTTGCAATTGTATGCAATTCATGACAAAATTTCTTCTAATTATTCATTGTTGTTATTTTCATTAGCATAGAAAAATGATTTAAGTAGTTATTGCTTTCTTAGAATAGACCATTAATTAATAGCATAATTTAAATTTTATTGCTCCTAATTCTATTAACTTTTCTTGAATACAAACAAGAGCGAAGCTCCCGAAAGTTACGCTTGCAAAATGCAATTTAAGGAATTTCGCAGGTTTAAAATTTCAGCTTCCATTTTTTATCTCCTAATTCCCTTGATTATTTAAATTTTTTCGATACCGAAAAGAATTCGTTAATAGGAATAGTTTATGCAAATAATACCTTTACGATGCCACTTAAAGTGATAATGTAATTAGTAATTTGATACATTTATAGGGAGCAATTATAACTTTTCTTATTTTGATCTAATTTTGATGCTTCCCAATCAAAATAATTGCAGTTTTGTTCTACTCTAAATTCTGTTAAATGTTTAGTAAAATCATAAATATATAACTAGAAGCACTGAAATTTATTCTCTGCAGTATATCTCATCCCAATGATATCATCGGATCCTCAAAACGACATAAATTCTCTTCCGGAATGGGTGCAGATGAATTTATGTAAACATTATTTTGAACTATTTTTTTATCTGTCGATGATTCGCTGCTTTATTTCCTTGGTTAATCAATCTTGTCATAATTCGCTTGATTCATTGTACAGAGTAAGTAGTATGTTTCTTGTACTGGCTGAATGTTAAGACTCTTCTCTTCTCGAATTAGTACCATTAATCTTATTTATTGTTGCAGATAAAACTTTTTAATATCTGTTTTCAAGAGTGACATATGCAAATACGATGCACATATCCACACATACACAAACATTTACGTATACGTACACGTGTGTGTTTACTTTTGAAATTTGGACTGAGCGTATGCTTCAGAAGTATGTGGTAGCAACGCTTATTTTTCTTGCCATAATCAGATTAACATTTTTAGGTGAAATTAATATTCCTCAACAAAAGTTATCCTATTTATTCTTAATAAGCTTTTGTTTACAAATTAATTAAAAAGCAATTTTAGGACCGATAGCTAATTTCAGGATCGATAATTTTGTTTGTTCGAATTGAATTCTTGACTCAGGACATTGACCTATCTCATGTGCCCTACTTTTGTCATGCTGTCTCTTTCAATTTTTAGATCACTTTTAAATATTTCGGAAATGTCTTACAAATGTATTGATTGAGACTACGAAACATCACTTTCAGGATTAAGCAAATGATTCAATAGTGGCGTTTTCTACGAGCGCAAAAACGTGATCATCTGGATGAATGACTAAATGATCTCATTTTTCTGCGAACGCAAAGATTGATCATCGAGATGAGATTTGTTGTTAATTCAACTATGTTAACAGTTGCTTTTACAATCGTTGGATGTCTTTGAGAAGAGGAAGAAAAATGAGCATCATTTTTCTTTGAAGAGATTGAATTCATAATAATCTTCCCAATGGCTATATTATTATCATTACCCGTATCTTTACTCTTTTCAACTCTAAGATTAGAAATTACTACTCGGATGGCTTTGCTAACTACGCCACAAGTTATGGATCAAAGTTCGAGTTTGATTTCCGGAAGTGACAAGCATTTTATCATACGTCTTTTGTCACATAATCGAAATTTAACGATTTCTGAACGAAATGGAAATTTGTTCGCTGATTCTCTATTGATTGATTCACTTGATAACAACATAATTAATACGTTAAATATCAGATGTTCCAATGATATTTTGTTGAGAATCACAATGAATAATAATACATCAAGGACGATGCTATCACCTTCATTATGCCGACAAAATACCCAATTAAGTGAGCTTTGAAATTAAAATTACAGTTCTCTTATCATCAGTGCTGATAGTAGTCAGTAAAGTGAGCCGAACAGCATATTTTTGTCGATGATTCTTGATAAATATATCATATATCAAAATATATAAAGTTTCTTAGTCAGAGAAATTTTGCAAAATTATCAGATATGTTTTATTGTATTAAAAATTTTCTTAATTGACAAACATAGGATCAAAACCGGAATTATCCTTTCTTTAGCAAAAAGCAGTTTTTGTTAGTTTTATCAAGAGATAAGTTTTCTGAGAAACCTGAACACAATAAGCTTATCACAGTAGAAATCAATAGAAATAAGTAGATGATAAGACATTGCTATCCATTTCGAGGATTCTTTACCGCTACAAACTATTACCTTCTGTTCAATTCAAGTTGTATTTATCGACTGCAGAGGCGATATTTTAGAGGCGCAAATTGGCGGTACAAATGAAAATAAAGGATTGTTGTTTGATGGTTGTGTAGAGAATGTCACTATTGCTGGAAAAGTTTTATTAGATCGATGGTGCAGGTTTGTTGATTTCGTACTACGATTGTTGACTGTAATTCAATAATAGTAATGAGATATGGATCAGATCACTACTTTGTTCATAACATCTTCTCTTATTACCGATCAAAAGGAGAGAGAGAGAGAGAGAGAGAAGGAAAAATTAATAATTAAGCATCATAATACACTCATTGAAAGGTTTATATCTTCATGTAAAGTGAGAATATCAAAGTTTTTTAAGAAGAGATTAAATTCGTAAATTTGAAGGGAAATTTTAAAAGTATTTAGCTTTGATGAAACAACTCACCAGCAAACATCTCAACAGCAAAGACAGCATCAAAAAGATGCAAACGAGCAATCAGATGGACCACGTCCTCCGCCACATTACGTGGGACTACAACATTTTACAGAGCCATTAGTTTTGGATGAGGGAGCAACTGCTCCAATACAAAGTTGGAATATTTATGCTTTTTCAAGACATCATTACAGGAATATTTCTAAAGAAGACATATTGTTCAGGTAATAATATTTTGATAGTAAGGAAAAAGGATCAATCAGAAGCAAAAGAGGAAAAATAAAAGTGCTAAATTAAGAAATTCTGCAATATTATACACAAAACTTTAGCTTTTTGATACTTATCGACTACATTCACTTGGACATCTCAATTCAGTTTTTTTTTTTTTTATTATATTTTAAATTTAATTCACTTATTCAATTGTATTTTCATAGTCGTTCATAATTCTTATAAGTAGTCTTCTTGCTTATTTATTTTTCACTTACCTGTTTACTGATTCATTGTCACATGTTGTCGTTTTAGATTGCTGGAACCACCACAACATGGTCAATTACTAAAGTATGGCCAACCAATAAACCAATTTGCTAGCAGTGATATTTTAGCCAATAAAATATTTTATAAGCACGATGATAGTGAAACAACTATTGATAACATTGGTTTGGAGGTACTATGACACATTTTGATACCTAAAACAAATACTACCTTGCCAGAATACCTATCGTTTTTTTTTTTTTCTTCTCTCTCTGAGGAACATCTGCTAAATGTTTCAATATTTAAAAAAGTTATTAGGATATTTACTCCATTCCACTACTTACAAATTTGGATTTTAGACTGCAATAATTTCACGAGAAGTGGTGACACCAAAACGGAACATGATTTACAATATACCAATACGAATCAATCCTGTCAATGATCCACCGGAACTGAAATCGGGAACTGATTCAGAAATGCTATGGATAACTGGTGACTCAAAGTAAGATTCTAAAAAAACTTTTTTATTTTTTGTCATTCATTTAAGGAAGTTAACATTTTCAATGAGTAATGGTAACAATTTTTATAAAAATTTGTGATAAAATGTATTTATTTCAATTATTTTATTTTAAACATTTTTTTCAATTATTTCACTAATTTATGAATGCGTAAATTTGAAAAAAAAAGAAAGAAAAAAGATTTAAACGATAGTGTAAAAGCGTTAAAGGTAGGACAGAAGGAGAAAATGTTGAAATTTACAAGTGACGGAACTGTTAAAGAAATTAAAAATGTAACTTAAGGAATTGCTTTTAGTTTCTAATATTTTGGTTGACAGAATGTGACAGAGCATTCTCTTGCATCATAAAGTCTGTAAGAAATTTCACAAATTGAAGCTGCCAACTATATAAATTCTTACTGCTTATTGTAAAGGGAAATTTCTGTAATGGACATATTTCAAGACTTACGTTGGATAGCCGAGCAATAAACTTGTGGGATGCGGATAGCGATCCGGAAACGGTGTACGTCTCTGTTATTGCTGCAAATGGAGTTCGGCTAGAAGATTCGGGAAGCAAGGAAATTCAAAAATTTACTCAGCGCGACTTTTTAAATAACGATGTAAGTTAAGTTAACAGTTCTATTGAAATATTTCAAATTTCTAACAAAATCATTGGGAAAACAAAGAGAAAATTGCAATTGTTCTGTCTTCTGAACAAATCTGACATTTAATTTTTATTAAAGTTTGTCATAAGATAGCCATCTGTCTGAGTCTGAATTAACTCTATTGTGTTCTTTTTCAGGTTCATGCTATTCTTACAGGTAAGGTAAGTGAGGGTACGTTGAAACTGATTGCTAGTGATGGTGAACGACAATCTGATGCACTCCAGTTGACAATACATTTTGCTCCGATTGAGATACAGCTGAAGGCTAATACAGGTACTTATATTATGGCTGCAAATAAACAGTGAATTGACAGAATTGGTCAATAAATAAAAATAACAGAAACAAAAACAAATAAACGACAAGTAATGGCAGAAACAATCGTTTCGAGTAAACAAATACACAAACATTAAGCTGTAAATAACAAAACAGTGAATCATCAAATAGCAATTACAGGCCTTAAAGTGATCCATCAAACGGCAGCCATTATCTCATCAGCAAATTTATCATTCACAACAAATCTTCCTGGAATTCCAATTAAGTATACCATTGTTGACCAGCCAGAATATGGTGTTGTACAGTGTCGCCATGGTTTGGGACAGTTTGAAATTTGTTCAACATTTAGCCAAAATGATATCGACAGTTCACGTGTACAGTATAAACATTCCAGTGCTATGAATCCAATGCTTGATACTTTTAGCTTTCAGGTATTTATAAAAAATGCAATGAATACATGAGACTTTGTTGGATGTAAAGATGAATTTAATTTTGAAATATTCTTAACTCTATAAAATATTCTTCCTTTCTATTCACATACTCAAGTTTTATCACATTATAATCATTTTAGATTCGAGTTGATACTACGACATCAATGATACACGTTTTTCGTATAACTTTCATTACGGTTCACGTTAAAATTTTTAATCGTATTCCATGTTTACTAAATAACACTGATAATTTGGTGTTGAAACGAGAAAATTTATTTGCTTGGACATTTCCTAAAAGTTTTCCAACCAATCAACTCGTTTATCATATTATTGAGCCACCAAAATTTGGTACTTTATTGCGTCGAGTTGAGAAAAATCGCAATCGACGAATTGGTGTTTCATCAAATTTCACTCAAAAGGTACTTACTGCATAATATATGCAAATTTTTGTATGAAAAGAGTAGTACACTTCGATGCTATTCCCTTCATTTCCTTTTGTTCCATTATAGGTAATCCAAGAAAGTATGTTTGGCATCAAAAAATATTGCAAATTATTCTGCTAATTAAATTAGTTTAATTATTTCTAGGTCATTTAAGATTTGAGTTTGAAATTCTCATCATTCTCGTCTCTTTACTTATTACTACTTTACTTATGATGATACTCTTCTTGTCTTACAGTTCATAACTCATTTTGTGTGTGTTTATTTTCTTGTAATGAAAGAGATGAAAGAAATTATTTTATACCCATTCACTCTGAGGCAAATGTACCTCATTACTTTAACAGCTAAATTTAAAAATTTGGGATAGCTATTTTAACAATTTTAAAACCAAATTTATTCGAAATTAGAAATGCTGAATGAAAAAAAGTAGTAGTAGCAACAGTAGTATCTCTAATTATTGATGGATTAGATCAAATATGAATACTTCAAAATATTTATGCTTCAGCGAATTTTCATTGCAGCACATTGACGATGGTGAAATTACTTATAAAATGCATTTTGTGCAGTATTCCATTGTCAACGATTTCTTCACTTTCCGATTAATCACACCATCGGTTACATCAGAAGAAGTACTTTTCGAGATAACATTTATTCCAGGACGTGGTTCTGTACAACTCATTAATCGAACTGTTATTGTTGAAGAGGGTGGCATGCAAAAGGTTAATTTTTAAAGTTAAATTTACAGGCAAATACTTTCATATTTTGTTGCAATTTTAAATAATTGGGTCCAAATGATAAACAAATTAATTTGTGATTGATTGGTTATTATCAGTGTTTAACTGATTCTGATTAGAATTTTTCGAATCCAATTCAAATCAAAACTTAAATTGTAATTTTTGATATGTGACTGATTTATCTAATTCATAGAATGAATAAGGTTTTACGCTGAATTCAGAAATTGTAGAGTTGTACGTCCTGTATTACAGATAAGCAATGAGTCACTATCATTACGAACTCCTGATAGCAGTCGTTTTGTGTTTATCATAGGTAATGCACCGGTCTACGGCAATATACTGTTAAAGCGAGCAACCGGTGAGCAACTCCGGCTGATCGATGGAGATAATTTCACCACTTCGGATGTTAACAGTGGAAAGTAAGTGAATTCAGTTGTCGCACTAACTAAATCAAGTCTTTTTCAAACTCCTCGAGAATGTGCTAGCTTTTAACTGAATAAAATCAAAGATATGAAAAGTTAAGGAATTCTTATCAGAGATCAGAGATATGATAAGTATGCGTATGCATTTCATAAGGTTAAGCGGAATAAACCAAATGTTCAGTGTTTTCTATCAACATATGGATGGTGAGAATCGCATTGATCAAGTATTCCTCTTGGCCGAGAGTATTTATGAACGTACAAGTCGAGTACCATTCTGGCTAACAATTAGACTGATCTTGAAGAATGATAATGTTCCAAGGTTGATTGGCAATAATATCATACAGGTATGTCAAACTGTATCGTTCTTAACAAACTTTTCTTTTCACTCTTTTCTGTTTAGTCATAAATGAATGATCATGGATTTCTTGACAAGATAAGAAGTCCCAAATTTGTACTATTTAACACCCCACAGCCATCCTTATGAATTGTCATCAGCTTTTAAGATGCTTTTATTAAAACTCTCATTTCGAGAATTTAATATATCGCTTAATTAAGACAACTAATTATATAAAGTAAACTTTGTATTCGATTAGTAGAAAAAAAAAAGTTTCAGATCACAGAACGCGGCGATCGTACATTATATCCATCATTGCTACCTTGGGTAGATGACGATATCGATGCACAACCCTTGCAGTTTACTTTTTATGACAATTTTCGACACGCTGCCATTTTGTCCACTTTTCCGCCATTTGCACCACTGCACAGTTTCACTCAACGACAAATGCAAAACAGTGAAGTGCTAATAAGACACTTCGGATATAGCAAAAATTTTAAAATGAAGTAAGTGTTGGTGATAAGGCACATTTGTAATTTGTTAGAGGGAGGAGGAATGGAAGATCGAATCTGATCGAATCCGAGTGCAATAACGGATGCATTATAGTTACACCGTATCGGATGGAGTGCATCAGGTACCCTCAGTACTAGTAATCACCGCATCGCAACCTTTCATAAGGATTCAAAATAGCAACATTACAATTTCGATCACTAATGCAACAACTGCAGCAGCAACTGCAATCTTTGTGCCATTAACGAACCGTAATCTTTCCGCTGTAACTAACGTTGATGCAAAAAAATCTGACATTTGGTTTAAAGTTACAACCGGAAATTGGATCTTTATCAGTAATTCTATCAAGAAACTGGTAAAAAGTTTCACACAACAGGTAAGCCCCGGAATTTTCAATGAGTTAAACAATTAGGATTAATTAATTAATTAATTAATTAATTAATGAAATGAAGGGATATGTAAATAAATGCAAATACAAAATGATATACAAAAAGAATGGAAAAAAGTAATTCGTTATCCTTTTTGTTTTATAGGATATCGATGATGGTCTAATACAGTACCGTATCACTGTTCCATCAATCAATAATGATCAACATGAACAAGCAATCACTGCTACAGTTGCAAATCTAACAGTCACAAAAACTTTCAAAGTTTTCAAAATTCATCTGGATGATAGTGAAAGGGATCATTTGGAAATGCGCACTTTGACCTCATTGGTTGTTCCGTTTTCATCAATTTCGCAAATTGACAAAAGTGTTCTACTAGCGACAGCTTCGCATAAACATCCAAGCGAAATCGTTTTTGATGTCATCCGGCAGCCAATGCATGGTTCACTTATATTGGAATCGTTGAGAGGTATAAGGTCGTCAAGATTCTCAATTTTACATTAATATGCAAATGTAAGGTCAACCAGTACCGTATCCTTCGCTTCCGCTTATTGCTGTATTCCTTGAATGAATCAGACTTCATAATAAAACTTTTACAAGAAGTTACATACTTAAAAAGGCTTAAATAGGTAACAAAAACGCCACTCTTTCAGCAATTAATAACGGACGTACCGTAATGCCAAGTAATTTCTTCGTTTCACGTTTTACGCAAGCGCATGTAAATGCCGGCCAAATACAATATTTACATAATGGTATATTGTCATCACGTGATTCTGTTGTTTTCAACGTTTCGATTGGAAAACAAATGATTGGACCATATACGTTGTTTATTAATGTTGTAGATGACAGGGTAATATATGAACTTAAAGTTCTTTTTTTTTGTCTATCATACTAATTAAATTACTAATTAAATATTTCGATGAAACAATCGTAATATTAATTTTTACTTTATGGTATTATTAATATGTCAAATTTTTTGATTTTTAGATTGAATTATCTGTATCAAACATCACAGTTATATCCGGATCTAACAAAACAATAAACAGTGATGTCATACATGCAACAGCTGGCAATGAACGTGACATAGAATTTCGGATTTTGTCGGATCCTGAATTCGGGTGGCTTGTTCGTGATGCTTCAAATTTAACTAATATCAGTACTATTAGACAGTTCAGTATTCAAGAACTCAGTGATCATCGAATCCATTACATAAGTAATCCGACTAGTCGAGAGCTAAGAGACACGTTTACGGTAGCAGCATGTACCATCGATACACAACAATGCACCTTACCAAAACAGGTAACTGTTTTGGTAAGGCATCATAATTTATATGGTAAAATTTTTGTTATAAAATTGGTAGGTATCCAATACATAGTTGGTATATCCTTGCAGTCAGTTCAAATTTAACCTCTAGCAGATAAAAGGTTATATTGTAGAACCGGAATTGCTGCGTAACGAAATAATGAAAATATGGAATATGCGTAAGACACCGATTACCAAACAGCACTTATTTTCACAGGTTTAATTTTTTTTTTTTTCTGAATTTTATTTGGTATCTTTGAAAATTTCCATAATACGACTGAAATAAATACTTAGTTGAAGTAGGTAAAAGATGAATTATTGTATGAGCTAAATAATGAAATTAAGGATGACGATACACCTACCGAGCAAATACGGTACCTTATCAATCAACCGCTGAATGGATACGTTGCTCGTGCGAATAATCCTTCAAAAGCTATTACAAATTTTTCACAAGCCGAAATTAACAAATTAGAAATAATCTTTGTAAAAAATGAAGGTGTAATTTTTAAAGCAGTTTTTTTAGCTTTACTCTGTGATCCCTTCATAAACTGTTTAAAATACAAATTTAATAATTGACTAAAATAAACTCGAATTTTTTAATTACTTTCAGATACTGCAACAGCTGGTGGCTTTTCCTTTCTCGTAAGCGACGGTCTTCATCAAATTGGTCCTGAATGGTTTACAATTGAAAGCTTGCAAGGAATTAAAATCATGATGGACGCAAATGGTCCTCTTGTAGTGCCACCGGGAAAATTTCCTGCTATTATCGGATCTGATTTATTGAAAGTTCATATTTCGGATGTATGTTTATCAGAATTTTCAAAGTATAGTTTTACTGTAAACTACTGGATTAGAAATGCTAGAAGAATTTACAAGAATGTTGAGGCTATACAGATTAGCTACTTACCATATTTTTCTCGATATATCGAATTCCGTTGATGATAGTTGCAGGTGGATCCAAGTAAAATTGTATATAAGCTGACGAAAATGCCACGTTATGGAAATTTGCTGCTTTCGGGAGTACTTACTGAGCAGTTCACGCAAGAAGATATCAATGAGGGTCGATTAACCTACAAAGTAGATAGTGATTTTTTAGATGAATGGACTAAAAAAGATCTGTTTTTGTTCAAAGTTTTGCTAAATAACTCAACGGATAATTCAGCGATTGATGAAAATCGTTTCAAAATTTCAATTACTTACGCCGCTTTACCGTCACATCGCTTACATGAATTCATTCAGCTTCATAGTGTTGTTGTTTCACGTGGTACGTTCAAACATTTTAATGTGTTCAATGAGTAATTAACGATTAGAGACAAATAATCTCTATCAGTTAATTGCATGCAAATTAAACTATGGAGAGAGAGAGAGGGAGAGGGAGAGAGAGAGGAGGGAGAGAGGGAAAGAGAAAGAAATGTGATGATAATATCAACAAATATAAAAATATAATAAAAATTATAAAATTGTGAGAAAAGTGAAAGTGAGGATATGGGAAGTAAAATGAAGAGTAAAAACTCAAAAGAGATGCCTTTAGGTGGAAGCGTAGCAATCAATGAATCTCACGTCAACTTGGATATTATACGTAAAAACTTTCGTGAGGAACTTGTGGTAGATTTTTCGCGAAAGCCACGACATGGTCAATTGGATGTATTAAATAGCATTATTAAGCATACTACTCTGGTGAAACTTTTTGATCTGTTAACCGGAAGATCATTGATTTACCGACATCAAAAGGAAGCATTGTTGCGAGATGAAATTTTGTTTTACATTTTGCCCAAAAATGACGCTAACCGTCATCGAACGAATCGTTTGCGCATAATACTACCGGTAATAGTGTTACCACAAAAGGATCCACTCGTAAAGGTTACCGGTTTTTAAAATCAGTTTTAATCTTACTTTTCTTTTATTTATCAACAGTGAATTTTATTTATCGGTTACACGCATTCCTTTCAATTCTTTTCATGCTTTACTTCCAGATTAAAGAATTTCCGGATCGAATTAAGCTAATCACTGGGGGCAATTATTCTCTGTCATCGGAGATATTTCAAGCTGTACATCCAGTAATCAAGCCAAGTGGTTTGGAATATCGATTGCTCCAGGTATGATTTATCATTCTTTCAGGAATTTCTTTTTTCTTTTTGTTACTTCTATTGATTCGATAAAGTATTTTCTCTACCTGAATTTGATTTTTTTTTTTCAGTGAAAAATGAAGTTTCAGGCAGGAAGTAATGGAGTGAAATTTTTGATGAAAAGTGGTATGACAGAATTGTTTACCCAAGATGACGTAAACAAAGGTAAAGTTGGACTTTTTCATCAACAACAGCACAATGTTCATGGTGACATCGATGTAGTCGTCTTTCAGGTTATTTTAAATCTTATTTGTAACTTCTTGTTAGTCATTTTAAATTTTGCGAGTGTATTGATGAAATTATCAAAAGTTGTATTACTTTTTTAACATTTTATCATCCATTCAGTTCACTTTTTAGTCAATATTTTATTATTTCAAAATAACCAATAGAGACAATTAGCCCAAAAGATAATGCCGAAATAGAATAGAAATCCTTTTACGACATCAAAGCATAAAGGTAAAGCAGAAAAAATTTATAAGCTAGATAAATCTAACCTGAATTGAGTTTTAAACTTTCAAAACAAACTTTATTACTTATTCTACTAGCATAGTTTTTATCAGTTATTGTTAAAAACGTTTTCTTATTTTCATCATTTTTGTCTTTAAAATAATTAAATTATTTTGGGTTGCTAGTCATATAAGAGCACTTATTATTGATATATTGCCATTATCATTATCGCTCGAAAATCATTCCGATGTGGAATATATTCAAGGAAAAACTTATGTACTTTTGAACAGGTAACATTTGAAGGGATTGGTTGATATTGCAGGCAACTAAACTTTTTTGAATGTGATTTTAGGTAAACGATAAAGCTAATGATTAATTAATACTATTTTGGTGAACAAATAAGAATAGTTAAATATTATTTGTTTAGTAAATGTATCAGAAGGATATTAAAAAGAAAATAACTAAATTTTGATAAAAACAGTCAGTTTTTACATAAATTATACTACTAGAATCATCCGTTTAAGCGACTTAAAAAGCAGTTCGTCCTATAAAGGAGCAAATGAAGCATTCACCGAAGACATACAATAAAATTTAATGTGACAGTACTGTACTGACTATAATTAAAATTAAAATTTAATTTCTGACAGAACTCATTTCGGTGCTAAGTCAAACGGTGATCGATCCAAAATTGTATACAAAATAACGAAGTTACCCGAGAATGGCACATTATATTGGGTAGCAGGAGAGAAGGAAGCAAACACGTTCACGCAGTTGGATATTGATGAGGAACGTGTGCTTTACGCACAACTTAATATGCAAGCCTTCCAGGTGGTATACTTAAGTGAATTATATAAGTTAAGGAAATAATTTAAAGTTATGTAATGCATTACTTTATACAAAAGTATTTTTTATCTAAAAGATCAAAACTGAAACTATTTGCTGAATTAAAAAGTCTGTAATTTTTCGTCTATTACTTGAATTAGTTTTTTTTTTTTTTTGAATTAAACAATCAATTCAATTTAATAGTACTGTTGTAATAATTAATTAATTTATATGGCTATGATGATTTAAGTTGAAAAAAATACTTCAGGATCGATTCGAATTTAAGGTTGAAAATGAATTAAATGAAACAGTTCAGAGTATTTCGTATGTGCGTGTACTTCCGGTGCTAAATCCACGAATTCTTATTGCTGATAGCAGTTCAGTAGCGCTTATTACTGGCGCACATTTGAATGCTTCCATTTTGCAGGTAATATATTTAAATGGATGAATATATATTTGTCAAAAATTCAACTAAATTACTGTATTTTAAATTTTAAGTTTAAATTTAAATATAAATAAATTCGCGATTTACAGTATTTAACTCCACGTTTCTTCGTCACTAAATCACCACGTTTTGGACGTTTTATGTTAAATTCAAATGTGAGCCAGTACGTGGAATTTTTCACTTACAATGATATCATAAATAATGGCTTATTTTACGTACCCAATCAAACTGATGTTATGGTACTCGATTTTGCAGAATTAGAATTAAATGCCGATGAGATTCAACCTGCTAGATTCAGGTTTACTTGAATTACTAATTCTGAAATTTCATAAATTTTTGATAATTTCGAGAAAATATTTGATCTGTCCACTACTTTCTATGTTTATCCAATTCTGATAGAAATTGAAACAATTATTTTGAGAAATTTGTTTCTGATTTTTTTTTTTTCGCAATTTGATATTTGATTCAAATAGTAGTACACTGTAAGCTCTTTCCAGATTTGAAATTGAAATTCATCCATCTACTATAATGAACTACATCCCTTCAACTGATAGTACCACGAATCACTCGATACCACCTGACTTATCTAACTCAGCCATGGTACCAGTCAATGAAATGATTAATTACTATGTACTAATCATTCTGTTTGCACTTATTGTTGCCGTAATCATAACTGTCATCATATTCCGGCGACATTTAAGCAATCGAAAGCAACTGCGAGTGGTTAAGGCACAGAAAAGACGCGAATTAGATGTAAAAGCAAAAGCAGACCTTCAAAAGCAGCCTGATTTGTTGAGTACCACGGTACGTACATTGGAATCTTAATTAAAATTTGGTACTCTCAAGTACAATTTCCAAGTTAAACACTTAATGTAAGTATTTCCTCATTAAATTAATGAGTGTTTATTAAAAAATTAATAGCTGTTTCCTTGATTTGTTATAATCACAAGTTAAAAGAATCAATGCATTAAATTAATCAAAACATTCAGTTTGTGAATTCAAATTGATTTGCAAATTATCCTTTTCCTTATGTACAAAGCATTATTCATGCAGTTGCACTCATATATTAATTAATTAATTTTTAAGACATGCATTATTGATTAGTATTCTACGCTAGGAATTATCAACCAAAGAAACAAAGATTATTACTGAGGGAAGGTAACGGATCAACTGATTCTATCTGTCGAGAACCTGTAGGGATGTGTTGGGTAATCACACTGATTCTACTTGTCGAGAACCTGTAGGGATTTGTTGGGTAATCACACTGATTCTACCTGTCGAGAACCTGTAGGGATTTGTTGGGTAACTCACACTGAATCACACTGATTCTACTTGTCGAGAACCTGTAGGGATTTGTTGGGTAATCACACTGATTCTACCTGTCGAGAACCTGTAGGGATTTGTTGGGTAATCACACTGATTCTACTTGTCGAGAACCTGTAGGGATTTGTTGGGTAATCACACTGATTCTACCTGTCGAGAACCTGTAGGGATGTGTTGGGTAATCACACTGATTCTACTTGTCGAGAACCTGTAGGGATTTGTTGGGTAATCACACTGATTCTAGTTGTCGAGAACCTGTAGGGATGTCTTGGGTAATCACACTGATTCTACTTGTCGAGAACCTGTAGGGATTTGTTGGGTAATCACACTGATTCTACTTGTCGAGAACCTGTAGGGATGTCTTGGGTAATCACACTGATTCTACTTGTCGAGAACCTGTAGAGATCTGTTGACGAATCACACTGATTCTACTTGTCGAGAACCTGTAGGGATTTGTTGGAGAACTTACCTGGATGACACTTTGCAGTTTGTACAGATGAATGTGATTGAATCTGTTATTCTTTCAATGAAAGGAAGTAAGTAGTGAAAGGCAGCCAGCCGCACTGAAACTGTCGCCAAAAGATGACAATACACACTTATAGTGAGTGAGCTTGGCTTATAACAGATTGATTGTAGTGGGTAAAGCTGTCACCGTCGAATGACCCTTTCGCTTTATATGACACTGTCAGATTGGGATGACCTCAACAATATTCTGAGAGTACAAGTAGATTTAGTTCAGAACAAAGGAGGTTAGTTGATATGACTTTTTAATAGTTGAAAGTCTAAAAGAGCGTAACACTAAATTTAGGAGTAATTTTTAAACAATGTAAACGTTGTTTGTTAAACTGTGACATCATTCTATACAAGACAGATAAACTCGAGAATGAGTGTTGCATCAATGATCTGCCCAAGGAATATTCAAATAGGGCAAATCCATAGTTATATGAACTTAATACAAATTTATTTTAACATACAATCGATTTTTTCTGATAAGTTAAGTATTGAAATGTGAAATTTTTAAAAATTTGTTTTGAATTTTTCTCGAATTTTGCAATTATTATGCACCAACTTAACTAATTTGATCAGTTAACATAGTCCTTCTGCATTCCATAATTTCATAAAGTCTTTTATAGGTTTACGCTACGATCGGACGTAGCCGTCGCGAGCTGTCCGAGAAACAACCTGAGCGTCCGTTACAAACATTTGATGGTTCAAAACAACGTACATCTTTGACTCCAACACCGATATCTCAGCGAACTCAGTCCAGACCACTCTCCGGTGAACTGATGGATTACCGGGAGTTAAATATCCGGAATACTCCAGAACTGAATAGGTCTAGGCCGGATCGATATCAGTCAACGAGGTTGAAAGACAGTCAGTATTGGGTATAACTGACAATTACCTAATTCTTCACTTCTCCATTATATATCGTTGTGTGTGCATTTATCATTGAATATTCCTAATTTACATACTAAAAATTCAAGGACTCTAATTAATTTGTTTCACTGCAAATCCAAGGAGTTTTCCGGATTCTGCTAAAAACGAAAATCTTAACATTCCGTTTCCTTTTTCTTCTACAATTTCATCACACTAGATGAACCTTCAGTATTTGCAAGTCAAATCTCTGAGATAACTTTTAATCTTTAAAATTATGTTTTAATAAAATTTTCAAATTCCAGTGGTTAGTTTCATGTCTCCTTAGAAATGCATTAATTGAGAAAAATTAATTCTATCTTATTTTTAAGAAAAATTAATTCTATCTTATTTTTAAATTTTTATGGATTCTAGATTTATTAAGGTTGATTTTGGTAGGAAAAGTTATAATTGGAAGTAACGAAACTAAGCATAGTGGGTTTAACGAACTCAAATTAGGTTTTGAAATGAAAATATGTTAAGTCAGTTTCTGTTACCAGTATTCTCTGAAACTGATTTCAACAAATTTTCGAATTATTTAAGACAAAAATTTTCTTTCAAAGGTTGAAAATCTGAGAAAAAAAATATTTTTTATATCAAAATTTGAAACTTTCATCATTCAATGAGTGTTGTTTTAACAATCAAAATTGCTTCAATTTTTGTAATGAAAGTACCATTGCTACTGACCGATGACTAGGCTAAGTATTGTTTTTACTCTTCTGATCAAAGATTCTTTTATCTTCAGATATGATCAAATTTTTTTGAAGAAAATTAACTTAAATATTTCCGATGATAAACTTCTTATGTTAAATGTATAGGAAGAAACAAATATCATCCAATTGCTGTATCTAAGAATCAATCTAGTGCACACTATTGTTGTCACCTAACAGGTTTAAAATTTAACCTTTTGCATCTTCGAGAAGGTTAATTTAACCTTTTGCATCTTCGAGAACGTTAATTTAACCTTTTGCAACTTCGAGAATTATTTTACTGCAAAACAAAACTTTCCTCTTCTGCAGCAGTAATGGCAGTTCATTCTTAGAAGATAATCTGCTCCGAGGCTATCATTGCTTGTCGAAGGACAAAGATAGATTCTGTAGGATTTAATTTTCTCGTCGAAGAAATGTGTCTGTTCTAAAATAATAGAGCCAATCAAAATTCATCACATTAATTCACAAAAAAATTAGCTTCCAACTACATATCCATTCCCTAACTCCCAAAAATGTTCATGTCATAAGGATGAAAGTAAGTTTACATCGAAAATGAACTTTGAACTGGTCAACTTAGAGGTCAAAGATTTAGAATGTTACGGAAATTTTGCAAAATATATATGCCAAAGAAATCAATTAGCATAGAATTGCAATCAAAAAAAAAAAAAAATCCGTTCCGTCTTGCTCGTCTAAATTCCTATCAAAATTTCATCTATACCACATTGTAAACAAGTAAACAAATGAAATACTAACTTGTTGATTAAGTTACAGGTTATTATGTAAGTGCTGGAAAGTAAGAAATAGAACCTTTGGAGAATTTTTTCTTCAGAAATGCGAGTTTCAAATTAAATAAGGTATTTGCTTTGTATTCTTGAATTAAATTTTGAGAATGACTGCAACCTGTATCACACAGGTTCATACCAATTTATATACTATTTCAATGCAAAATACCTGTGCGTTTTATTTATTTTTTTTTTTTTGTCGCAGCGATAAAAAAAAAATGAACGATGAGAGTAAAAGAAGGAAGCAAGAAAATCTGCTAATGATACTATGCGAATTTTAAATTTCAAATTAGAAATTTCCATAACTCAAGAAAAACTTTAGATTTTCTCCAGCCATTGAATTGAAAATGAACAGAGCAAAAAAAAAAAAAAGATTAACATTTAAAATTATAATTTCGTTATTTAACCAATCCTAAGCTTTATTTCTAGTTTATGTCTTTATTTCTGCGATGACATTAAAACCTTCAGTTGACCTCTCGGCTGACCTCTCGTGATATAATATTATTGTCTCGAAAGTGCATAAGCGTTTTTTTTCCACGATGAATTGCACAACAGAATTAGTTTTTGCAAATATAATACATTTATATGAAGAATGAATGAATGAGAAAGAATTTAGTTACATATAACATTTTTGCATTATGAGAATTTCACATGGAAGTGCTTCTCAAACATGGACCGTCTATGCTGTTGGCTAGGTAGACGACGTCTTGATGACCCTCGTGATCGCCATTTGGTGACATTCTTCAGAGTGTTGAAGATTGGAGGAGCACTGAAGTCGAGAGCGTACTCTTCCTGGGGTACCTCTTCAATTAGCAATGGCGAATTTCTGCACTCTTCGAGTGATGAAAGATCTTCTACCGATGCTACTGGTGCTATTGGTGGTAATTCTTGGATGAGTTTTTCTCTGAAGCAAATTCCTTTTAATTGTTTATTTTAATTAATCAAAGCATATAACTATTTACTATTCATATTCACATTGTTAAAAGACAATAGCTATTTTCCCAAAAACAATTTGTTTTTTTTTTTTTTTGTTTTTTTTTTAATTTGTTTTTTGTCCAATTTGTTTTTTGTTTTTGAGAGAGAGAGAGATTTGTTTTTGATTAAAATATGTCAAAAAAAGAAGTGTAAAGATAGTACTTTTCGCTATCCAAAAATTCCAATTGTTCCACAAATAATTGTCGAGCAGTCTCGAGATGCTGCTCATTAGACGTGTGCATTTCTTTTTTCACTGAATCTTTGTGCTCATCAATTAGTCGCAAATTCTCAACGATCTGCAAAAAAAAAATACTTGTGTAGTCTTCAAAATAAGAGCTATTAAATGGACAAAACATCAAAGACATCTAACATACCAGGACATTTAAATTCTTTAAATTTTATTTAAAAAATTTAAATTCTATTAGCAATAGATACCTTTTCACTAGCAGTTTCAAGTGAAACAATTTCTGTTAACGTTGAGCGGAATTGTCGCAATTTTTCTTCGATTAACGCTTGTACACAAATAGCCTGTCTTTCAACATCTCGTAGTTGATCTTGCGCACGTAACGTTTGATTAGTACGCAAAATGCATGGTGCAAAAATAAGTGCCAAATTTGCAGCACCCATTTTGTTCACTGATTCCTTAAAAATAGTTTGTTAGGATAGGTAACTTTTACATTTAAGGTAACAAATACTGCGATGCTTGTGGATAGCCAAGATAGACTTACATTTTAAAATATTATTGAAAATTATATGGGAATGTGACATTGAAGGTTAAAATATAAGGTATTAAAGTTTAACAATGTCAAACATGTACTACTTGATTTAATCATAGTATAATTTCTGATATTAGAGCTTAAAATAGATGAAGTCTAATATTCAGAAAGTAATTAACCTAGGTATAAGATAGTAAAGTCTTCCAATCACGTCACAATAAGAAATGATGGTAAATCGCATACTAACAAAATTTGCCTACAAAGAAGTTGACACTATGAAGTTTTGAAAACAAATTTGAAAAATGAAGTTTCAAGTTTGACAAAGTTAAAAGGAAATTAGTCATAACTTTTATTATTCCTCCCTATCCTATAAAATAGATAAAGACTTATAAGTTCTTTAACTTATATTACTTATTTTTCACTTATATATATTTTTTTAGTTTTTTTACTTATATTACTTATTTTTTATTTACTTCTTTACTTATAAGGAAAGGTTACTTATCAGGTAACTAATATTTACTTACCTGATTAGCAACACGTGCCAAATGGTACAGCAACCGTTCCAAAACGCTTCTATTACATTTTGGTAGCAATTCTACTATTACAGTCAAACATCTTACTCGTTCAGTACTATCTTGCACCTCTAAATTAGTTGATAATTAATTTATGAAATTTTACATGGAAGTGATAAAATTATTGCTCTAGAATAGCTATACCTATAAAAAATGGGCTTTTTTTTACCTGAGGCATTCAAGAAATTCTCGTAGAGATCGTAAGTGATAAGAGGCTCCGGGAGCTCACGGAAAAATGACTTCACTAAAGTTGTTATAACGTGCGTGGGGACGTCGTCAAACGATAATATTTCGAATTCTGAAAAATCCATTTCTTTACAGTAAAATTTAGTTATTATATCCTTTTGTTCCTTCCATCTCATCATATTTGAGATATGATGATGATGATTATGATGATGATGATGATGATGATTATGATGATGATGATTATGATGATGATTATGATGATGATGATGATGATGATGATGATGATGATGATGATGATGATGATGATGATACATGATTGCATTTATATGATTATGATTATGATGATGACACTACCTGATGATCATGATGATGATGCACATTCTGCACTTCCTAAAATTCAACGAAAAGCATCTGACCTTCTAGAAATTTGATATACCATAAAAATTTTATAGCACAAAATATGCAATCAGAAATACACTACCTGCATTTTCAATTTCTCGACGTGCATTACGCACTTGTCCAATTGCTGCACTTTTCCTATAAATTCCTTCAACGAAAAGAGCTTTCAATTCAATAGCCATAAATAATTTATCGATGACAATTGGAACTGATTCTTGATCATCCACGAGACTGTTCAAATTTGCACCAAAAAATCGTCCACCAGATTGTAAATTCTATGAATCTCTAGCATTATCATTCTATCTTTTTCATTTCTTTTGTTGTGCTTTCAATAATTTTATAATGCCTTAACTTACTTACTCATTCTGTTTGGCTTTAATATGGATAGCCTAACTACTTCACTTAGTGAGACACAAAAATTGGACAGATGAGATATTACTTTGGGGAGAGTTTAAATGAACAAATGGGAAAGGTACGTAAAAACCAGTTTAAATGAACAAATGGGAAAGTACGTAAAAACCAGTTTAAATGAACAAATGGGAAAGGTACGTAAAAACCAGTTTAAATGAACAAATGGGAAAGGTACGTAAAAACCAGTTTAAATGAACAAATGGGAAAGGTACGTAAAAACCAGTTTAAATGAACAAATGGGAAAGGTACGTAAAAACCAGTTTAAATGAACAAATGGGAAAGGTACGTAAAAACCACGCAAACACGAAAATTCCACTGAAGTAAGAAGTTAGAATATGGAAGTGAAAGAATGAAATGAATAATTTCTGAGGCATAAGTTAATTCTAATTTTGCTTCTTTTATAATTTTGGATCGTTTTATTCGGACTACAATTTCATTTCATTTTTTTTTTTTTCGGTTCCATTTTATCCATTTCGGTCTACCATTTTCCATCGAAAAATCAACGAAAATTTTGCAAATGGAAATTTTGAAAGCAAAAATGAAAAATTAAATTACTTACTGTTTGCTGTAAAGATTGCGTACAACTTGTTGTAATCTTTGTATGACATTTCTTGTGACAACTTATGCGACATGCTTTACAAATGAAAATTTTCTCAGCATGCCACATAAACAAATTGCACACTTCACAATACGTTGGTACGTGAACGTATTCTAATTTAAATCGATGACCATTATAAACCTAAAATCAATAATTTAACTGTTTTTTTTTTCTTTTTTTTATTGGTCATAATGTATATTTTTCCTATCCTAACAAATCACTTAATTTAAGCATGTAAGAATGAAAAAATCTTTGAAATTTTAAGGTTAAAATTTTTATATAATCAAAATTAACAAAAATTAACAACAATAACTCACCACCGTTGCATCCGATTTTCTTCTTTTTTTGCGAACATTCTGTAATGGAAGATAAATTAGTGATCAAATGAAATTGAATCGATTTTTTTTTTATCAAACAAATAAATAATAAAAGAAAACAATGATTAATTACCATGCAAATGAATGAACACAGCAGATGAAGCGTTAAATGCTAGCAATACCATAACTTTTTGTTTTCATTTTTCATTCAAAAGTAAACTTTGTGATATTAATTTTCAAAGAATGCTCGTTGAGTAATCTTTCCTTATTCATTAGTCTTTCAAGTAATATTGAGTGAATTGTTAGTTAAGTAATTCTATTAGATTCATCTTGAGTTCGCTCAAATGATACCTGTTTTTCCAAGCAGATCAATTAAAAATAAGTAATAATTAGTTCAGATAAACTGCATTTCATCTATTCTCGACAATAAAATGTTATTGAGAATAAGATTAATACGACATGCACACTGAGATACTCTCCGGAAGTATTTTGCACAGAAATTTTCCACTTCCAGAAATTTTCGAAAAAAGCTGCGATTGAATAGATCGGTGCAAACGGTGTATTCCAGAATATTCCGAGAGTGCTGCAATGACAAATGAAAGCATTAAGCACAGGTGCGTGTCAATTTGATTGGGAGCACTCATTATCTCGAGAATGCATGCTTGTGATTTAGAGTGAAACTGTTTTGTGTCACCACCTCAAGGACATTCGATTTTTTACTCGATTTCTTATTTTTTGTTTGCTCGTGAAGGAATTCATTCAGAAATCCACGAAACGCGTTTACGCCAAGTGTAGTAGGGAATGTTACCTGTAATGTTGATGAATTCATAAAGGTGTTTATGAGAGAGGAAGACAAAAAAAAAAGGCAATTTATATGATTGACTGGATATTTCGAATCAATGAATCCCAGTTTTTTTTTTTTTTTTTAAACTTTCCGATTCTAGGATATGAAGTAATCATTAACAAATAAACGGAAAGAACGATAGTGAAATGTTCAATAAAAAAAAAAAAAGACAAAAATTAATATAATTTATTATGCTGCCAATTTGTTTCAATGGCTTATCACAATTTCGATAATTCGAAATCGATAATCGATAATTCAGTATGCAAAATATATTTCAACCACGAAGGGAAATTTTTTCAATATCTAATGATTTTAACAATGGTAGTAGGAATTTTGATGTTTATTATATACCTGTTCCTGGGCTGAAACTTTGGTCAGTGAACCTTCGAAAATAGTGATAAGATCATGATACTTTAGCATCGTTCTGTTTTCCTGAAAAGAAAAGCCAATGAAAATAACAGATTATAAAGAATGGTTTTTATAAATGTGAATTTCTTGCTTCGTAGTCAAATTCCGATAATTAAATGCCAAATTATGTGGTAGCAGAAATAAAACAAAAATAATTTTATCACTATGAATTTCTGCAAAAAATTTATGAAAAAAAAAGTTGTTTACTTTAAAAATTTAACTAAAATTTGAATTTTAATCTTTTTAATTTAATCTCTCAAATATCACCCCCAAGTGAATGGTTACTGCTACTTTTGTGAATTATTTATTCGCCCAAATTCCTTATTTTCAGTCACTTTTCCAATCCAGTTCTTCCGGAAGTATATTCAAGAATGGCTTATCATAGCTTAAAGTAAACATATTTAAGAATATCAGTTTACTTATCCAACTGTTCTAAACAAAGTGAGCAAAAGAATTTGAAATCAAAATAATTTTCGTTGCAAAAGTAAGCCGAGCTGAAATTAGAATAAAGCTAAATGTTTTGGAATGATTATAGATTTATCATTATCAACTTTATGGCACCTACACTGACTACCGCTTCATAGCCAATAATTTCCATATGGAATTCCTTGAAAGCTTTCTTGAAAATTGCATCTATTTGTGTGTCCCTCTTTTTCTTATTATTCTCCAATTTCATCAATTTTTTGAAGATAAATACATTGAAATGTCTCAGATCATCGTCACTTTCAATAATCATATCGCTTGGATCAGTCTGAAATTTCCTTAATTAACAAAACCAGAAAACAACCTGATCACTCTTATTTCTTACCTGATTGACAAAGCTATCTCCTCTCTAAGCGGTATTCATCAACAGCAAAAATAACTTTTATAACTTAGATGTACTAAGATACTTTCAATTTCGACTATGGTTCATTGACTTTCTGCTTGTGTTATTTTTGCAAGTTTCAAAGAAGAAACCGGATGTATCACAGTTTATGCATTTCATGAAAAATTTATTTGTAGACAATGATTTTGATTGATTCTACCTGTTGTTTAGTTTTATGCAAACTGAAGGATTTGGCTGGATGAAGGACGAGTGGTGCAAATGATTGCTTCGGTGACAAAGACGATCTGAAAGTAAGTCAACAAATCTAAAACCAGCGAAATTCTTTGCATCCATCAAATTTGTGAATGATAATAAGACAAATCAAGTGAGTAACTTCTAATCTTTGATCTCTAAATGATAACATATCAGAAATGTCCTCAATTCATATTCCGGTTCATATTCCGGTTTCTGCTCAATATTTAATAATAACCAGCATTTTATTCACTTAATATTATCCAGTCAAAATATAGCTAATAGCACTGCATGTTTGATGCTATCCAAAGTTTTGCTTTGTCTTAATTCCAGCATTGTCCTTTACTGGCCAAGATCATATTGCCAAGAGAGAAAGAGATATCTACCATCAAACATTAAGGAACTTCGAATTGATTTAGATGAAAGACGTGTGTCAACTTCAAAAGCTTGAAAATTTCTTCACTTTATTTCCCATTCCTTCTTTGGCGACGTATCATCCGGACGAAGTGAACGGATCACCGCTTGACAAGGAATATTGGACGCGAATGAAGAGCACTCTTTGTGGAATGATAATTTACACTCTACAATTGATACTTACACTAACATTGTTGTTTAACTTTAATTCACAAATTAACAAGTGTAAAATCTTTCAAATTTTGACTTAAATTTACAAATTGTAGCATAACATGACAATTGATTTGAACTTAAGAATAAACATTCGGTTTAATTCATTCAATGAAATATTTTAATTGTTTTAATTAGAGAGAGTTTAATGATTCTCTCTGTAATTTGTTCACATACTAATTAGAAAGTGAATCATTATTAATTGTTCCTGAAATACAGTGAAAGAGTGAAAGAGAAGAGGAAATACCTGTACACTTGTTGCCCTTTATTAGTATACCGGTGAAATTTTTATTGCATAAAGCACAAATTTCATTGCGATGCAGTCGACTTAATTTTAAATTATGTTTGGTTGACACTGAGGTTGTGCTATAAAGTGAAAATGATGATGGAAAATTAGGGAAGAAGACCATCTCTCATTAATTTATAATAATTCTGTATTTTTCCTGAAAATAGGACAAGAGAATCGGAATTTATCGATTATCCAGAAAGTGAGCTATATAACATTATTTATGCCAGATATCAAATTATTTCTCGTCTAATTATCTCGCATATTTGACATTTGATGATGATGATACAAATAGATATTTAGCACGAAATATTAGCAAACCGGAATTCAAAAAGTTAGAAAAGGAATCTTTCGATTAAAAAGAACTGCTAAGAAATGATGAATACTTACCATGCAGTAAGTGAGTCTCGACTTTCATCAATACTCAGGACACTATCACTACGTCGTGACAGAAATGCTTTCAAGTGCTTCTTGGCTCGCATAAAACCCATCTTTCTACTTTTGCTCTTACTTTCTGGGCTCTGAAACCTTACTATGAACAAATGTCCATTAAGTACCATCTGGCGAAGATGTAAAGTTGAATGATTTTCTTTGGCTGATCGTTAAAATTGTTTCTGTTGAAACTATAATATCACACTGAAGACTCAGTTAATATTATGGCAAGGCAAAATAACTACATACAATTACTTTGAATATAATTTTAATCCCAACAAGGTATACACTATTTGAGCGCAAATGGCATTCATTCACTGCGCCAGAGGAAAGTATATGTGATGAGAATGGTAAGAGTAAACATTTAAGCATTCAATTTATGTTTACCGAAGGTATCATATGTTCAGAAATTGAAAGTCGATCCGTTTCTGTGCTTGCAGCTCTTCGAAACATTTTCATCTATAAAATTTTGCATGAAATAGATTCAATCTTGAGTGATTTTCAGAGAAATTTAAAAAATATTAACAGCAGTAAGACGACGATGACAAAATGTAAACGTAAATAGTTGAAACGATGGTCAATTTTTGGGTAGTAATAGTGTGTCGGGAATTTTACCAAGAAAATTATATTTGTTGATTCCGCTGCGTAATTATAATAAGAAGATATGTTCACAATCTTAGATGATTATGCCAGATATAATGGCATGAATAATGATAACGATTATCAGTTTGCTTCTTCAGCTTTTGAAATGTGTTTCTAGGCGTTAGTATTGGAATTTAAATTCCAATAGTCATTAGCAAATTGATGTATTTCTGAACATATTCGATCATAAGAGATAGAAAAACCTTTTTGGTTGTACCAGTTGATGCTGAACTTATCCTTCTTTTGAAAATTGCTGAATCTCGTGGTGCTCTGAAAAAACGAATATTTGGAAAAAATAGGTAAAGTTAAGATAAAGATGAGACAATGACTGAATGATTAATTAAGTCTATTCCGCACACTAAAATTACATTACTTAGCAATCCAAATGTAAAAGGTTAAAGGGCAAAGTGTTGATTCAGGCAGAAAAGCTAGCAATAATTCACTAATAGCAAGGAAAAAGAATAATGTCAATACGGATGAGATGATTGAATAGATAAAGAGTTTACTGAAATGGAAAAGAGAAAATCAGTTTGTCAACTTACTCGACAAGTTTCAGTTTTTTATCCTCCAATATGAATGTCGCATCGAGTTCCGTTTCCAGATGGACACTGAAATGAATATGGCATTTCATAAGGATTGACACTACTTCGAGTTTTCCTAGAGATTTGCTTCGATTTCTAACGATCTGAGGAATGGAATCGATAGAATGTCTCACCTAAGCAACGTTCAAGCACCATTATTTGACGTTAGCTTAACGTAAGATTTACGCTGCTATCGAATGTAATAATCTCTGGCTGACGTACACGCTGGGACAAAGTGAAAATTTTCTTTTTAAAGAAAATAAAAATGAATGCACCTGTCGAGCTGAATCGAACTTCGAGTACTTCCAGCATCCTCCTGTCCATCTTCTTCCTCATCCAAAATGCTAACACTTGTTGATGCTATTGAGAGCTCTTCCTCATCCTCATCTGAACCCGCAAATTGCGCCAAAGATTCGGGGTCGTTCAGATTGAACGATACCAATTCCATTTTTCGCACAACCTTTGTTATTGTGAAATTTGGTGAATGTTTCTTTGGATCACTTTCTCTTCTCATTTCCTCATATCTAAAATTCATTCATTAACCATTTTAATCTTAAAACTGAACTTTGACATTCTTGACTCTCAAAATTTGACGTGACGCAGAGTGACATCAAATTTTAGACGTGAATGAATGGAGAAAAAATATTGTAGAATGATAGAATTAGTAGAATGAATTGAATTAAGACAGAAAGGAAAGGAAGTAGTACCGTTTTCTAGCATAAGCGCCACGATAATGAGCCTGTATAGCGACAACAGCGCGTCGAATTTTTTGATATCTTTGCTCCACCTTGAAACGCTTCCAGTTACGCTGAATCACCAACGCGGCATCGTATACTTCATGCAAACGATTCCTCACAATCATCCCACGAGCTGCTGCCTGGAAAATAAAACGAAATCTTATTCGAAATATTAGTCTCATAGTGAAAAGTCTAAAATGAATTTTACTGTTTATAAAATTCAAAAGTTATTCAAATCGATCAAGCGGACAATCATAAATTATTAAAGCATTTGAAAAGCTTTTATTAATAAGCAAATCAATAAGTGTGTTATTATTACAACAGATAATTTAAAGATATATCATTGAAATGTTTTCAATTTGAGTAATTTTAAAAAACTTAAGTGATAAAATTATGATGGGACAATTTGAGAAAAAAAATTAAGAGAGAAATGTGCGAGATTGAAATGACTAAATTCGATACTTTAAGAAATGAGTCACATTTTCTCTATTCTTTTCTTTTACTGTTCATTTCTTATTAAAGTACAAGGAGATACATACCTGCATTCCAATAATACTATTGCGCAATTTGATATATTTGCGCCTTGTCATTAGAGCTTGAATGCATCTCTGCAACGTTTCGATATGCTTCATAATGACGCGATGAAGATGATCATCCAGAATTAACTTCTCAGCATCACGCATAAATACCTGAAGAACAGACGTACTCAACGTGATATATGCGTAGAACGTTACTTTAACTTTCAAAATATTAAATTTCATTTAAAACTAAACTTGTCGTTGACAGTTCGTAGACATTAGCAAGACATTATGAGAGTGAGAAATGCTTACTTTGGTGATTCCAAATTGCACCTCGTTATTATCAATCAATGCATGTGCTGTGATAAACTCCTTAACATCTTCTGTGGTACTTTCACAGCCTTTCGGTAGAAGCACTCGATACTGCTTGATGAAATCCTTTAAAAAAATTTTCAACCGAAATTTATCACATCTTTGTGTCATATTTTTGTCACATCAATTTGAAATTAAAATTGAACAAAATACATTAATATTATTAATACTTGGAATAATGCTTGTCAACCTTATATTCGATACGAACACTATAACCAGCTCGACGTATTCGCACTGTCTCGAGCATACCTGTGTAACGCAATTGTCGTAAAATAATATTGTCATCAAAATGGTTCGGAATCTGTAAATCACTAATTTACAATTCATTAAATGTTTCTTAAATGATTATTGCTTGTTCTCAAAAATTTTAATTTTACAGAAAAATATCATCTTGGCTCTGTAAAAATATTTCAAAAAAATAATGGCCAAGTTTATTAACTTTTTAGTAAAATTTTTTTCAGATTACCAATAAATTTTTAAGTAATAACACAATCCTGGAAGACTTTCAATGAAATACTGCTAGCTATCATCAAAATGAGCCCGGATGGATGCATATCATATTATATCAATGCTTGGCCAATAATGTGAGCAATGTTTAGGCTTGGCAACATATATTGGAAGCCTAGTCCTAAATCTAAGTTACTCATTAATTTAACGACTGGTATTGCTGAGAGAAAAGCGATAACCTTTTCATTGTTAGATTTGATGCATCGGATGAAATAAGGTGTTGCCTGAGATAACGTTTTCATCAGTCGCGACAAAGAATGCTGGAATTGTTTGCCGACGGAAGACGGTTTTCCGGTGATACTTTTCTTTTCCGAAAAAGCTTTCACTGCCTATAAAATGTAATGTAGAAGTGAGAAATTAGTTTGTGTTTAGACATTCTTCTGCTACTCATAAACAGAAACTTTCCGAAATATCACCTGTAAGCTTTTCAAAGCGCTGTGACAGTCCTCCACCTGTACGTTTGGTTGTTTCCGAGCATGGCTAACAATTGTGGTGAAAAATGATGTGTCACAGAAGGGTGGTACCATTTCTTGACTTATTTCACCACGTAGGAAAGCATTTAAATGCGTATCCGAACTAATCCCAGTTAATATCGCTTTATTATCACGCGGTAACTTAGAATGTTCGATATTTTCTGGAAATAATTTCAAAAACGAAAATTTTACTCAATTTTCAAATCAATTGCATGCAATGAGTAACTCAGTCATTTTATCAAAAAGAGAAATTTTTTTGTGTCAAATATAATCACCTCTTTTTTTTGCCAATTTTCCAGCTTGCCAGAAAGCGTTTGCTGCCCGAAAAGTTGCCCGTAATATGCCCCAACGAAATACCGCAACCGGATCATTTCCAACTAACCCTCGAACAAAAGCACTTTTACTTTTCTTGATTGCCATTAAAACTTCTTGTCGCATCAAATCTTTGTTTTTTTCACGAAAACCCTAAAAAGTATCTGGAAAATCTTAGCATAACATAAAGGATTGTAATAAATTCATTGATCTCATATACATTTGATAAAATTATTTCATTTCGTCTTCTCAATGCATTTTGAATTTGAATTATTAACTTTATTGGTAGATGAATGAATGAGTTCAAAAGGAGAAATTTTGAGAGTAAATAATTCTCATTTTCATACATTCCTATCATCTTTCTGTCTAAATTAATGAAATGAATTCATTTTTCTCTTTTTCAAATTATATTAACCTTAATTTGATATTTCACTTTTCCCGCATAATGGGCAACAATGAAAGCTGATTCACGCTTCTGAGGTGTTTCATAGTATTCGTTGGTTTTGAGGAAATGATTGAGCTTATCGAGCATTGACTCGTCCGTTCCGTTGTTGATATTACTTTCTTCATCAATCAATCGGAATATACCGTATGGTTTACTCTGCAAATAAAACAACAACGACAACAATAGCATTTGCAGCAATTCCTTTCACACTTCCTTCCTTCCTTCCACTCTCACTTCACTTAATAATCAGGAATGTCCGGTTGTTTCAGGTTATCTCTCTTCTCTGTACCATATAGTTCACATCAACCGGAACAGTTCGCTTATGCATAATGCCTTCAAAGTGAAGTGCTTCAATCATTGAATAATCGTTCAATCGTCATGTGTTACTGATTAAAGAAATTTAATTTCCACACAACAATAAGTACTTTTGAATCGGAAATTACCAATGCGTTTTTATGGGCTTTTTTTTATTACCAAAAATGAAGAAAAAAGCAAATGTAATTGTGATTTGATTGAAGATTGAAATGAAATTTAATTTTTCTGAAAATGTGTGTCTTACTTGATAATGCAATAAACAAACTTTTTTAGTAAGTAACATTTCACTGATGTAATGATGAAGAATACAGTATTGATTTTTTCTCCAAGTGATCATAAATTGCTTTTATTGTTACTAAAATTCAATAATGTAAGCACCGAAAAAGCAAAATTAACCTGAAACAATTGGACACATTCGGTATTATCGGTATATTCGATGTTCGTCCATGTAATTCCTTCTTTGAGATATTCTTCCTGAAAAGAAACAGTCACATCAAATGGATGTCCGGATACTATTGCGCCATTAATTTTCTGACAGTAATTCGGCGCAAACAATCTTAGATAAAAAAAAAAACAAAATTACTTATGCAAAATTAGCATATAAATTTATAAACTGTACAGTAGCAAATGTGTGTAATTTACTAATTTACTTTATTTATCGGACTTATATCATTCTTACAAGTTATCCATTCTTCTCTCCGACATATCTTTTGTGATTTCTTTTCACATTTTCAAGTTGAATTCTGCTTGTCATTTAAGACAATTCATAGAATCACTTGTATACCTGCTCGAATTGGAAGATATGTTGGTTGAAGTAAGCTTGTAGATGCTCATTTGCATAATTGATACAGAGTTGTTCAAATGAATTCCACTTTCCACCAACATCTTCAAATCCGAAAATATCCAAAATACCTAGAATAGCTTATTATTCTCTCTCTCTTTTTTTTTTTTTTTTTTTGTTAATTCATTTCTAATTAACTGATTTGATTCTACTGCGAAAAAATAGTCCAACATGAAAATGTATTCAAAATTTACAACGAAATAGAAGATAAGATGAAAAGTTCTGCTTTCTAACTAAATAGCTACATGATGATCTCTCGTCCGGAAATTCAGTTAAACTTTCAGATTCTTATGAATTAGAGTTATAAACTAACAAAATACAAAAAAAGAACATCGGATACAACTATGTTCAGAAAATCAATTCCTCAACCAACAGCTAAACCAGGAAATTTTGCCACACAATGAAGTATGATTTAAGCTTTAAAATTGAGAAAGTTATAAGCAGGAGAATTTCGACAAAATTCAACACTAAAGTTTTAATTTAAATTTAAACTTAAGCTTAAATACCAATATAATATCCTGTCTTTGACGTAAGTCGTTCTTTTTTCAGCAACGCTTGATTTATCCGTAATACTATCCAATAAAATAAAGCATTGTACAGACATTTTGCCATAGCATCGCGTGTATCTTTTGCCTTAATTTTGTCATTTTTTTATAATTTATTTCATTTAAAATAAAATTACTAACCAAACACAGCAATTTATGACTTTTTAGCATTAGCAAATCAAATAAAACTGATTGATATAAATATGATTTAGACTTTAACGTCTATACATTGCATCCGTATTTCTATCTATCACATTCGTACATTTCCGGAAAGAAATTACTATACAGTAGTAGAGTGGTTTTCAGTAAGTAAGAATTTCAGGTGTAAAATAATATTTGAAATGATGATGATGCGATGATCATATCATCTTTCTTATCAGATACACAAATCTTTGCAAATACTTACTTACACTTATTTTCATCATCTCTTATTTCTAATTCACTTACCAGTTGCTCACTCATTCTGCTGCTATTATCATCAATAGTTCATTTCGAAAATTGAAAATTCTCTAAAAATTCAAAAATGCTAACTCACCTCGCTAACACTGTACTGCGAGATGACAACATCATTTTTCATCACCGTTCGACGCATCGTCAAAGCTTGCTGCAGACTGGATGCTTTGATATGTAGCAGCGTTGAAATAATAGATAGCACTTCCTCATTACCGATGGAGACATTCTCGTCACTATGATAGCCACTTCTCTAAATGACACTGTCTCATTGTCACAGACAGATAGGTTCAGTAACTACCTGTGGTACTACTATATGACACATTCTTACCCGAACATACTGTATGTTTCCAAGAAGTAATACAGCTGAAATAACTGCAAACATATTTTGCTGAGATTGTTGTGAGAAGCCAACTGCATCCATAGCATATTTGAGTCGTTGATATTCGTAACATTCATTCACTCCTTCTGCCGCATAAAAGTTATTCTGAAAAATAGCAAATGAATCGGAAAAGATTTTTGACAGGTATCAATAAATTAAATTCAATCTTTGCCATTCATTTTCAATTTAATCTTTCAACTGTCAACGATGCATGGATCTTCAATTTGAGATTAAGATTTGTTAATTTATGAATGTATATAAGAGACAACTTGAATGAGAGAAGAAATAACTGAACAAGTGAGAAGGGAAAGAAAGAAGAAGATAAATCTGGAAGAAGATAAATTCAAAATGAAGATGATAAGAAGATAAATCTTGATCTGAATCCTGAAGCTAATACTGGAAACAAAAATTCTCGATTCAAAATTAAGAAGGAACAGTCTCCTAAACAGTCTATTCTTGCTTGGAAGAAGATAAATCTGGATGATAATTTTTCTGAATCCTGAAGCTAATACTGGAAACAAAAATTCTCGATTCAAAATTAAGAAGGAACAGTCTCCTAAACAGTCTATTCTTGCTTGGAAGAAGATAAATCTGGATGATAATTTTTCTGAATCCTAAAGCTGATACTGGAAACAAAATTCTCGATTCAAAATTAAGAAGGAACAGTCTCCTAAACAGTCTATTCTTGCTTTAAATCTGGATGATAATTCTGAATCCTGAAGCTTACTTTCTTAAGAAGGAACAGTCTCCTAAACAGTCTATTCTTGCTTGGAAGAAGATAAATCTGGATGATAATTTTTCTGAATCCTGAAGCTGATACTGGAAACAAAAATTCTCGATTCAAAATTAAGAAGGAACAGTCTCCTAAACAGTCTATTCTTGCTTTAAATCTGGATGATAATTTTTCTGAATCCTGAAGCTGATACTTTCTCGATTCCAGTCTTCTAAACACTCTATTCTTGTTTCTTCGAGAGTTTTACTATAGCGCTCTTTTATACATGTGTCCTCACTACAGCATTCAATTCCATCCGTTTTTTTTTTCAAATCTGTTACTTGCAAGATTTTTTGCATGCATATTTTCAAATGCATGTCACGCGTGCATGCAGCAAGAATGTGTCAACTGATTGAATCATAATCCAAATGGTTTAAGGATCATAACTTTGTGATATTTCAATAATGAAAGTATAGATGGACAAAAATTATTTTCAAATCTTTTCTCCTTTTCACTTAGAATTTCTTCAATAATTTTACATCTGAAAGTCATAGGTCTTTGACATTTCCATAGATGATAAAGCCTTTAAATTAAATTAGTTATTTTGGAAAATTATAATATGATTTCATCATCTAAAATTCATCAAATCAATTGAGGTCATTTTTGGAAATAAATTAAAATTGTGCATAGCAAATTTTTAACCATATACATTGCATCATATCACTTTTCCGGACTAATCTTGCATACACTTTTTACCGGAATAGAGAATTGGCATAAAAGAATGTTTTCAGATATTTAAGACATTGTTTAAGTCAAAACCGAAAAACAAAAAGATATGAAGGATTATTTTAAATGTTTCACTGAAAGCATACTTTAATACAGTTATTTACCTGATTAAGGTAGCTATATTCGGTTGGTTGCATCAAGTAATGCCTTTGTCGTTCCTCCTCGGATGCACCATTTAATAAATAGTAAAAAACATGATAGTTCCTATGAAATATAAATATTTTAAATTTAATCTATGTAAAGTACAAATGAAACTATAAAATTTGTCGTTTATTCATGCTTGAAAAGAGATAAATTATCAAAATTATAATTTAAAATGGTCGTATATTTCTCAAAAGAATTGAAAAAAAAAGAAAAAAAAAGTTTCATTGATGTAATCTTTGAAAAGTAAAAGTTTTCTAAGAAAATTTTTGTAAATTTCTCAATTGAAAGAATATTTATTTTCTACCTTTCATCAACAGCTTGTGAAATGATTCGTGACTTTTCTAGCAAGTAAATTTCAACATTTGCTCTGAAAAAAAAAAAAAAGAATTAAATTAATGAATCTTATAATATTAATAATATCAATTTTCTTAATGAACATTTAACTTAAGCACGGAAATATGCATTTGCTGATAATTTGAATATTGCATGAGACATTTTCAAGTCTTCAAGAATATCTCATAATACTGACTCAGTGTTTCTTGCTTTGATCCTCTCCTTTGATCAATGAAGTATCATCTACCGTAATATTTTAGCTTTCTTTGAATATTAAATAAACATACCCCGAGACCATCCCATTTTCTCGATAATTCACTCGGATAAATTTTCCAAATCTGCTGCTGTTATTATTTTGCACCGTTACTGCATTCCCAAACGCCTTAAAGGTTTTCCTTTCTTTTTTTTTTTTTTTTTTAAATTTTGATTAAAACCTGAACTACTGATATAAATTTATCATGGGTTGAAGAGTAAGGAGTAATTAGTCTCTGACATAAAGAATAACTAAGTAACTAATGAGGAGTATTTAGTGATAAGTTGTACTGTTTTTTTTTTTTTTTTTTTTTGAAATTCAAGAAAAGATGTAGAGAAACAAACCTCAAGTACAGGTCCAGCAGAAAGTAAGGTTTGTTCAACGGTACTTCCGGTGCTGGAACCTTTTTGACTGAGTGTGGTGAAATGATGTAACAGGAAATTTGTTGATTCGGTTTTCCCGGAACCTGATTCGCCACTTATTACAATGCACTGATTTTCCTTAATCCGTAACATGCTGAAGTAAGTTTTGATTTAGTTCACTACTGATACTTTATGATATACGAAAGTGAAGGAAAACTTTCTAAATTTTAAAATCGGACAACATAAATTTACGTAGCGTTGTCAGCTAAAAGTGACGTTTTGACGTGAAACATTACTTATAGATGAGAGATTAGCATGAGTATGTTGTAGCTAGCTCAATCATGGAATAAATTTGACGGATATGTTTAAATATTTTTGTAATGGTAGAAGGATGATGTCTACCATGAAGAGATCACTCTTATCATCAGAGGTTGTTTATTATTCCCACTAAGACTCTCAATCAAAGGCAATAAATGAGTGATACAAAGGTACCTGTGATATGTGATATTAGCAATAGCAAAAATATGTGGTGGCATACTGGAAAGTTGTCGAATTTGAGAATACAATCGAGCATACTTTGGATTATAAATTGGAAAGAAGTTAAAAGGATTAACAGCTAGTAAAATTGGCCCTGTAATATTGAGCTGTATTTAATGAATAAAGAATGGGATGAATTAATTCATTAAATTAACTGAAAATATGAATACTAATTTCTTACTTCAAAGTGTACAGTTAAAATGCCAAGAATAAAGTCAGATGAAAAGCAAAGAAAGAGTACTGTAATGAGGAGAAGTTGAATTATTTTTTTTTTTTTTAAGACTGATATATGAATTGTAAATGTAAGTTATGATGAGGCGCAAATGTCGCAACGGTGAAAGTGAAATGGCAGTTTTGGTAGGTTGAAATCCATAACATTTGCATTTGCTTTTTTTTTTTTTCTGAGTTGTTCTAGTAACAGAGTTGTTCTTTTTGAAATGAAAGGGCGATTATAAGGAAGAGATTTACCTATATAGGTATATATGTGTCCACTAGCAAAACGATCCTTAAGATTATCAAGTAATGTTTGTTCCGTAAGCTCCGGAAGCATACATAAATCGGGATATTCACGGTCCTAAAATCAAAATTGTGAAATTGAAACAAGAAGGCTTCATTATCTCCGCCAACTATGTCTTCTAGAATAGACCTTTTCATTATATAAGAAATATTGTTGTACCTGAGGCTGTGTCAAGAATTTGGCCAAGAAAGAATCGATGGTACTGGATGTTTTCGTAGATCCAAAATGCACACCATCGGACAATAGCGATGAGTCTTTATGCCTAGAAATTGAAGAGTAAGAACATCGAGGAATGCCAAAAGATTTTATGTAATTTAAGTTAATGAAGTAAGTAAACTTTATGGGACTACACTTAATTTAAATGAATTCAAGCCAATTTAAGTGTGACAAGGCTTAATTTTATAAAATGCAATTCATTTACTTGAACATTACTGATTTCTAAAAATCCCAACTTAGCCAAAAGTTTGCATTTCAAAACTAACAAAAATTTTTGACCGGTTCAATCAAGTAAGTGTTTCTACTCATTCTAGTCTCAAGGCTACCATTATCACTGATACGGCTGAGACAGTATTTTTGTTTATAGTCACAAAGGGAACTAAAACTACGAGAATGCTGTGCAGTGTGACATGCTCCTGTGAGCTACTTGGCCAAACAACTAAATGGCCAAGATTGGCCTATTACTTGTCCTTTTTTACTCCAGTAATAAACACATTCGATCTTCATTTATTTTCACCTCAATACTAAGCGATTTTTCGGCGTAGCTTCGTTGCTCTCGCTGTGCATCGGTCGTGTCCACAACATTTGCACAGCTACCGGATATTCGCCCCGGTCAAGTTTTCGCTCCTTGAACGTTTGTCCATCCAATGTACCCATAATTTCGTATAACTCGTAGTTATCAGCACACTGATGCGCCAATTCTGCAATATGTTAGAGTAGTAATGGTGTTTAAAGTATGAGAAGCTATCAATATGATTACAGGTAATTAGATAGGATGACACGTTACCGTTAAGTTTCACGTAATGGTTAAGTAATCCATTACGCTAATAATTGAAAGCAAATGCGTATCAATTTTTCTATTCTTGATAAATTTCGAATTATTTTCTCAAAATTTACCTTGTTTTTGTTGCAGAACTTTCTCAATAAGTTCTTCGGTAGTTGCCCATTTATGGAAATCAAAACTAATTCGATCTTCATAGGAATCCGGATTAAATGAATACAAATAAACAGAAACAGTTTGAAAATGTGACTCATCCGTTGAACTTGCATTTGAAACAATAGTTAACGAACGATTAGGATAAACGTTTACTGTACTGATAGAACCTAATGATGACGTCGAATCAAAGCTCATTATTGTACTGTACAGTTTGTTATTAGAGCTGATAATATCGTATCTGTAATTAGCATCCTCTACAGACAATGTAACGTCCGGTTTGTAGGAATCTTTGCGTAACGGAAGAAATGAACGATACGATGGTGTAAAATTAAATCAGTTAGAAAAAAAAAGATAGGTTGAAATTTGTCGAAATTTAGCAAAAACAAAAATTTCAATTAAAATTCTTAAAAGTTTCAGCAATTTAATATTCTAAAATCTAAAATAGCCATTAAGCGCCTAACTTTTCAACGCATTAAAACGAATAACTAACTTAATATTATTGTGTAGACTTTGTACAATCTATTAGGATAAAAGAGTTTAATCTTAATCGATAAGTTTAATTTTAATTAAAAATTCAGATTTAATGCTAAAAATCATACTCGAAGATAAAAAGAACCGAATGTTTCACTAGCCCAGTCCAAGTATTTTTGCAAAAGTTCATTCCTTGGATGATTAAATTTGATTTTATCAGAAATCAAATTTAATTAAATCAATTCTTATGCGGAAAGTAATAAAAGAATATGCGGGAAAAAGAAAGTAATTTTAGTAGGAGAGAAAAAAAAAAAAAGAGTACAGGTGTGGAAGTGGAGGGAGAGAGAAGAAGAATAATGCATCAGTTTGACACAAATAAACAAGATGAAATGAAGGCAGGCTCCACTTCGATCTCTGAGGAAAGGATCAGGAAGCAGGGTGAAGTGCTTGAAACCAGTTGTTTTGAATTTCAATTTTTATATACTTTCTAAAGTGATGCTGATCATCACTCATCAAATCAGCATAACTAACTTCCAGAAATACTGCTAGATGGTAGCAGTATCAAAATGTAGTATGCATATGGTATTGACACGTCTTTCACGTTAATAATACAATGCATTGGCGTAAATACGCATCAGGCATTCACGTCGTAATCTTACGAAATAATAAGCGTCAGGTAAATATATGTATATTTGGAGACAGAATGATAGTTCGATGCTTTTGACGCATTCACAATATCATAAGTATTTTCTCAGTAATCAGAATAATTTGCTAGAATTCCTGCAAATAAATTACGATTAGTTTTTGATATTAGGAAAGATGATAAGAATAATCATCAAAATAAAGTGATAAGAATGATGGTAGATAGGAACGGCTGTAAGGGAAGAGAATTATAATAGTTGAGAAGGTGAATGATTTTCAAATCTCTGACATGCAGAATAGAATGAATAACAAGGCTATTTGATGTTTGGCTGATTGATGATGGTTACGGTTGATGATAATGATAACGATAATGATGATAGTAATAGTGATGACAATGATGATGCTATGGTTAATGATGATGATGATGATGGCTATGATTAATGGTGATGATGATGATGATGGCTATGATTAATGATGATGATGGCTATAGTTAATGATAATGATGATGATGGCTATAGTTAATGATGATGACGATAACGATAAAATGATCGTGAACGTGGTAGTAAGGCAAATTTAACAATCCATTAAATGTTCCGAAAATTTCAGCATTCTGAGCCAGTGATCACTGTCGTAGTGAATATCTCTCAACTTGCTTACATCTGAAGTCAGCTGTTCATGTCGGCTTTAGACTTAGGAGTGCAGTGCTGCCCTGCATTATTTCCTTCTTCCTCTCACTTTACAAATGACAAATTCGAATTTTGTTTGTCTTAGAACATTAACTTACCCATGCATGTTCCAACCAAAAATTTCTAAAGGAAATAGGAAACAGTGCTGAAATGTAATGTTTATTATGTGACATTAATACACAGTACTATCGCCATAGAATTGCTATTTCAGTTTAAATTCGACCTTCAATTTTTTCCAAGTATTACTCATAAGCAATAGCAATATTCACTACTTTTCTCGAATATTAAAGTATTGAAAAATAACAAAAAAGGGATATAAGTGATGAAGTGTGGCGCTTTAGTCGTAGCTCATTTCTTGATGCAATTTAAAATCACCGCCCATGAAACATTTGACTGCAAGCAAAAAACAAAAAACAAACAAACAAATGGGGTGGACCAAACCAAAAAAAGAAAAACACAATTAAGCTTCGTTTCGTATTTGAAGGAATAATGTCGAGAAATAGCACCGTTAGAAGTAAGGCAAGACAGATTTGAAAGTGATATTGCTTGAGAGTTTCCTTGAAATTTAATCATTTAACTAAATATAGCTTTACATTAACCTATTTTGATGCAATTTAATTTAAAAAAAAAAAAAAAAAAAAAAAAACGTTGCGTTGATTGTGTTTATGAAGAAATTTCGGTAAAGGAAAAAAATGAAAATAAAAAAGTAAAAGAAATGAAGTAGGAAAAGGAAGTAAATTCATCTGACATAAGAAGCAGACAGATAACAGAAAGATAGTATTGGTTCTGTAGTAACCTTTAAAAGTAACCTGCGATACTGAGATCAACCGACCCAGCTATCCCAACCCAGCCCAGCCTATGCTAGCCCAGCCCAGCCCATACAAGCCTAGCCTAGCCTAGCCCATGCCATGTGGTTCAGTTACAGATGTTCCGCTAAAATCAAAGAATGATGTGCTTGCAGAGAGATATTTATGTTTATATGTGTATACGCTAGTTGTGTAAACATATGATGTTGCTCTTTTCAGTGTTATTTCACTTTTCCTTTTGTCACACATTTCAGGCATTTCAATGAATCAATCATTGGTCCACGCAACGTGAATCAATCATTGGTCCACGTAACGTGAAGTGAATTCTCGTACGTTTCAGCGTACAAAGGTATAAAATGGTGTTATATTTATCGTAAAATCTTTCAAAAATTTCACTTTAGTATGAATATTTTGGTGCAAAAGTTCACTTAGTTTTGGCTCATTTTTTCATTAACTTTTCTTTCGAGTACCAATAATAATAATAACAAATTCCTTTCAGAATTTTAAATTTTCTTCGTCTTTTTTTTCCTTTTTTTTTTAGGCTATCCATTTCTTTACATAATCAAAGTTGTTTTGCAAGAAAAAAGCCAAAAAAAAAAAAAAGAAAAAGTAGAATTCAGTCGGTCTGATAGAAAGATATGGCATTATTAAATTTGCACTAATCATTCTTAGGTTTGTATTAAATTAAGAATTCTTCAAATGTTATGGATTATTTAGTTGTTACAGATGATGTTTACATTTCAATAAAATGTTGGAGCTCTTCGAAAAATGATTCTTGAGGAATAAATTAAACAAATTAAGATTAAACAGAATTAAACAAAAAAAATTATTTGCCATTTTAAGCTATATTTGAATCATTTTTTCAAGCAACTAAGACAAATTTTGGAAATTATTGCAACAGTCTAACTTTGCTTTTAATTTTGGATTTAATCAATTTTTCAATTTTAAATTGAAGCAATATCGGCACATCCGGAATTCTTCTTGAAAAAATGTACAGTGGCATGGAAGTATCGTAATATCTTTACGGTTTTCAGCGTTTTTCTTTTTTCACAATTTCATTGCTAACTTAACATCACTCAATTTTTCGCACTCTTCCATCATGATTGGCTGGCTGGTAGATAGATAAGCTAGCAATGAAAGAACGATTCAATTTCCAAACACTTTGTAATTTGCCGGATTTAGTCGGAAAAATTGATAAATAATTCATTTTTAACCATTATCAAAGTCTTGTTGCATTATAAAAACATAATTTATCATTGTTATGTGACAATCTGGTTGCCACATTATTTATAATCCAATTGCCACATTATTTACAATCCGGTTGTCACATTATTAACAGTCCGGTTGCCACATTATTTATAATCCGGTTGCCACATTATTTACAATCCGGTTGTCACATTATTAACAGTCCGGTTGCCACATTATTTATAATCCGGTTGCCACATTATTTATAATCCGGTTGTCACATTATTGACAGTCCGGTTGTCACATTATTAATATTTTGTTATTGGTAATTGTTGCATCTAAATTGAAGTGACAAATATCCATTTAAATTAGATGCGGATTAAATTAAAATGAATTAGACATGAAGTTTTATACAATTAATCGAATCAAGCATCTCGAATATTACAGTTTGACTTTTTGGTACTTCAAATAATTTCTAAAAATGCATGTTTAAAAAATTAAGCCTTTTTCTCTTTACTCAATTCGAAATTATTTATTTGCTATTGTAAATTGCAGAAACAGCTCCATTTACTGGTGCAAACTGCAGGATGCAGTAAGACTTAGCAAACTGCAAGCTCATATCTGCTAGATGTGATTATGTTGATCATTGAACTTGGTTGTGATAAGTACTTTGAACTATAAAGTACACAATTAATAAAATCAGTACTTCCACTTATTTGGACACTTTTCTGGCTCATCTTTGCAAGGATAAAATTGACAAATCTAAGTGATTTGAATTTCAATATTTTTTTTTTTTAAAAAAAAAAGTTAGATAATTGAAAAGGATTTATTGGATAGTAAGAATGAAGTATCATAGCTTCCAGTTGTAAATGATGGAAAATTAATTCTGGTGCTTATTAATGGATAAGTAAAGGAGATAAAACTTTAAGGTAACTAAGATATTTGAGGATGAGCAGAGAGAAGAGAAGAATGAAATCATTTCTGATAATTTTCCAAATGATAAAATAGAAATAATGCTCAGCATATATCACCATTAGATTTAATTGAATTTCAAAAAAAAAAAATTGTGTTTCTTGGAATCACTTTTTTTTTTTTTTGTTGCAAGAAGATAACTTGGATGTTGGTTATTTGGAAATAAAATATTCTCAGTGATTTTTTCCATTTTTTAACAAAGTTTTCTTTTTTTTTTTTCTTTTCCTTCATGGCTTCAAAAAAAAAAAAGAAAAACAAAAAATTTAATAAACTGGTGATTAGAGTGAAATAATTCATTTTATTGCTGTTTAGAAGGAAAGCATTTCAGAAAGGAAACATTTTTTTTTTCAGAATTATTACAATTTGTCAATTTGTTCCTCAATTTTTTTTTTTTTTTTTTTTTATAAAAGAATAACCGAATTATTTGAAATAA